ATGTTGTTTTTGTTGTTAGCAGTGGTGGTGGTGGTGGTGCTGGTACTGACAGCAGAGCACAGCGCAGTACTTGGAAAGTGCTGTTTGGCTACAATCCTTACGCGCAAATGAGTTTGAAAGGGCCGCCGCTTCGTGAATAGCACCGCGAGGACATTATGCGTGGGCAATATGTGTAGGCATGTTCGCAATTAAAATAAAAAGCAGCCCACATGTGACAGCTAAACATGGCGTGGACCCCGTACCAACTGCCAGGACGTTCTTAGACGCGATTATGCCCAAGACTGTGTCCTCAAGCAGGCAACAAAAATAAGTTATTGCCTACTTGTGGGCGCTGGGATACTCGCAGCATTTGCTGCTTTTTTACTTGAAGGTGCTTCAATTCGCTATACGTGTATGATTGGTTAGTACATGCATCAATTGTTTGTGGAATTTTACGCCTGATTTATAGCAATAAAATATTTGTTAGCACTTGCTAATCTATTTGATAAATAATTTAACGCTTATTTGCCCAGCAATCAGCTGGCGTTGTCGTCGATACTTGATTGTTTACACAAAATACTTTGACCGTTATGGCAAATCGACGAATAAATTGGCCAGATATACATATGTAAATTGGCAATAATTTGATTTGATGTTTCTTCTTTATAGGTGACGAGTTATTAAAATTTGATATTTTATGAGCTTAACTTCTTGTTTTTTTCTTGTGGGGATTTTATTTTTTTGTGGTTTGCAATAATTGCCATAATTTATTTGCGAGCCAAGCTTGACAAAATTTGCATTTGTTTAAGTCCACTTTGATGTTGTTTAAAACTTTGGTTTTTTGTCTTTTGGCATGCGGAAACGTTCTCGAAAGAAGTCCTTAGCTGGCGGCAGCTCAAACATTTATGCAAATTCGAGGAAAGAACTAAACAAACTCGTTAAACTGGCGGCAACTAATGACAGCAGATTTGCAATTTTTTCAGATAAACTCGAGAATTTAGAGAAGCCACTAATGCTCCAATTTATAGCAAGGTGGTAATTAAAATTTTCACTAATATGCAGATGCCACTGCCCAAATGGCATTCAATAAATGTCTACGAAAATATACTCGTGCATTTTTCATTGATTATTATTCGCGGCTGGCTGTGCTCTCGCAGTTGAAGGCTTGATAAGCGCTCCGATAAAATAGATCGATTAACCCGTCTGGCCTGTGGGACATTAATATAAAACGCTTCTGTCAGCTCCGTCCCGGACTAGGCCACATTTTATTCATTTATTGATGCTGCGAAGTTGTCCAACGGCTATTATCAATTCTTGTTGTTGTTGTTGTGTGTGAGGCGCCCTCTGCTGCTTTTTTATTATGTTTATGTTTTTCTCTTCTTTTCAGTTGCTTTTGTTGTGTTTTAGTTTTTATGTTGGGGCTGCGTGCATCTTTTATGAGCGTGTGGCGCCCGAGACCTTGAAATTGTAGCTGGTTTATTTTAATATGTTTACATTTGTTTAGTTTGCATATGGCATTGCCACCAGCGCTAGGCGGCGGCAGCGGCTGCGGCAGCATCAGCCGAAATACCGAGCATACCATCTGAGAGCAGCGCAGCAGCAGAGCAGCTGGCTGCACGGCTCAGCGGTCTGGGCGGAGCCATAAACAAAACAAAGACAAATTATTTTTAGGTTTAGGCTGTGACTTCGCCTCGGGGGCCTGATTGACAACTTCTCCAATGTGGTCAAAGACAAAAAACTATTAACAAACTCATGAATGGAAAGAGAAATTGATGAGAATCATAAAAAAGAATTTACACACTCCATTAACAGAGGCTTAGGCTAACTCAGGCCTCGCCAGCTCGTTATATACGAAAGGCGCTTATATATATACGCTATGCTGGAGAGTCCAATCTATGATTAGTCATAGCTAAAGTTATCGCTGATATGCATCTTTGAGGCGCCGATGATTTGCAAATCTATTCAGTTATCTTAGTTATGGATCTCTCGAATTTTTATGCTGAAAACATTTTATTATGCAAATGGATTCAATTTCAAATATGTTGTTGGCATTTATTTATCTATAGCAGGGCTGAAAGAGTCAAAAACAATAATTTTTATGATATCAATAAAGCATGATGAAAACGTGATAATCGCTGATCAGATTAAATGGTCGTCGCCTGGCGCCAGCTGATTACGGTCGCACAGCTTCAGGTGGCGAACAGTTAAAACGTCAAGGTCGCAACGCTTGTTGGCTTTATGGCTTATATTTTGGCCAATTGCCTATAAGGCAAACGGCAAAGAGCAGACAGTAAACAGCAAACGACAAACAACATTGAGGGCTAAACGGATGCGCAAAAAAGCTCAAAAGATTCATTCGAATATTTATTTCAGTTTGTGGGTCTGAGCATTGGTGGGGCCATTGTTTTATTTTCCGCACACATTCCTTTGATTGTAAGTCGATAGATTTTAGGGGACCCTCGCCAAATATTACTGCAAAGATTCAAATTCATGTTAAAACCAGCCACCATAAACGATTGGGAATTTCCAAACTAGAAATCTTCGCACCAGACTATCTCAAAATATATACTTAACCGACTGGGAATTTTGAAAATCACCTCGAACTTGTTTTGATGCGCCGCCAATCCGATCCAAGCTGGGTATCAACATCGATCGACGCCATTCCACATTTTTTGCATACAAATATGTATGAAGAAAATAATTTCTTTTATTAAAATCATAATGAAACATACCATATTAACTAAACTCGTTTTGTTGATGGCAATGCCAATACTGCCGCTGAGCCTGGTCGATCATAGACCCCCGGTGGTTTACCAATGCGACTTGCTCTTGAGCAAGGGCTGTACCTCATTTGCATAGTGCAGACTGCGATATTGGCAAGAATAGGCCTGGTAGAGGTGCGCGGCGACGTTGACATTGCTGGCATTGTTTTTATCGGCTTGGCTCGTATTTCAGGGCTCGCTGTTCAATCAGCAGACAAAGCAGCAAAAGAAGTTCATGCTAAATACTTCGAGCATTGAGCATTGAGCATCGAGCATCGAGAGGGACAGCAGATGCTGATTTATCAACAACAATAACAACAGCTAAACGGCATCAGCCACATCAGCTGCTGCTGAAGCAGCAGCCACGACCATCGCGGCTCGGTCTCTGCATGAACTTGAGCGCAGTCGAGTGACACAGTTTGGTGGTTTTCGTATAAATAGTAGACGCAATGGTATTCCAAACGTCAGACACAGCCCAGCAGTTAAACTCAAAGAACTTCAGTAAAGCTCGAGATGCGTGTATTCATTGTAAGTATCCAGGAGCTGAACACGAGTCGCCTTTAGGATTACCTCAATCATGTTTTCTGCGTGCAGGTTATGTGCCTTGTGGCAGCTGCCTACGCCGACAAGCTGGGCTATAACTATCAGCCAGTGGCACACTCCGATTCCGGCCTGTCCTTCGGCCCTGGTGGTGGCAGCATTGGAGGAGGTGGTGGAGGCCTCACTGGTCTCTCCAGCAATAACATCGGTGGTATCTCTGGAGGCAACCTTGGTGGTATTTCTGGAGGCAGCCTTGGTGGTATTTCCGGAGGCAACCTCGGTGGTATTTCCAGTGGTAACCTCGGTGGTATCTCAGGTGGCAACCTCGGCGGTATCTCCAGTGGCAACCTCGGTGGTATTTCCGGCGGCAACCTCGGTGGCGGTAACTTAGAAGCTCCAGTCTCGTACAATGCCCCTGCCCCAGCTGCTGAATTGCAGAAGGAGTTCTTCACCTACACCGCCAACGAACAGGACTTCGATGAGCCACAAGCTCTGGAGAAGGTTTCCAGCTCTCTGAACAAAGCTCTGCGTGTTGTCTTCATCAAGGGACCCGAGAACCGTGGCCTGGAGAACGCTGCTCTGGCTCTGGCCAAGCAGGCCGCCCAGCAGGAGACCGCCATCTATGTTCTGAACAAGCAGGCTGACATCGGAGATCTGGCCAGCAAACTGAATGCCATCCGCAGCAACAACAACAACAAGCCCGAGGTGCACTTCGTCAAGTACCGCACTCCTGAGGATGCCGCCAACGCACAGCGCGCCATTCAAGGCCAATACGATCAACTGGGAGGTTCGTCCCAGTCCCACAATGGAGGTGTTGCTCCCGTTCTGAACTTCGCTTCCCAGGGTCCAGCGCGTCAGGTTAACGCCAAGTCGCCCGATAATTCTTACCTGCCCAGCTCTATTTTCCGTCGGGTCTAAATTTACAGTTAGATTTAGATCATATGAATGATAATGACAGCGATCTTTGACTGATTTTTAAACCTAGTTTTTGTTGAATAATGCTTAAATAAATTCCCTTTCCTACATTTTATTTCGAACGTAAACGTCTTATCATATACAGAACTTCATATTTCACGATTTTTGTTATAAAACTGTTGCTTTGAAATCCATGGCAAATATGTGGTTCATAAGGCCTTAGGAAAGTTTAGTTGAAGCTCAGCTGCCAGATATGCCCCTTTATTAACCTAATGAGTGCTTAAGTCTTAGTATATTATATATATGTATATGCTATATATGTGTATATTAAATATACATTATTTATTGTTATTTGTCTGCAAATACGTGCCTTGCGCTGAAGTATATTATTAATCTAAATCACTATAAAAATTAATTTATAAAAGTATAAATGTAAGTGGACTGAGCTGCTTACTTGTGCCCCATTAAACAAAAATTAAAAATTTTATTTGGAAACGAAGTCGTTTTTAGTTGATATCAATAATGTGACTGAAACATCATTTCCAAAACAGAAAATACTAACTAGGTTGCCTTTGCTATACATATGGGTATTTCTCCAGCACATATTAAGAAAAATGATAAATGAATGGCAGTGGGATCTGCGATAGATGTGTAATCTTTGTAGAATTAGCATAACACCGAAAGCGTTACTAACTAACAAACGACAAAGATAAGTAATACCCATATCAATCATACCAAATAAATTTGATTCTCCTTCTCATTATCACATTCTTCTTTTAGTTTCTTCATTAAAAGTAAACGTTGTTTAAAATTAAAAGTAAAAAAGCTCTATTAGTTTTATTTAACAAATCGATCAATATTCAACATTTCCTAATTATTTACAGAATTTGACTATGTTCACTTTTTGTGGCGCAGACGATTCAGAATCGAGGACGGCAAGTAATTGCTGTCGGGCTCCCGGATCAGTCCTTCGCGTGCAGGCAAAGAGGAGCGCGATGCAAAGTTCAGGGCATTTGCGATACCTCCGTTGATATTTTGACTAGTGCCGCCCAGCGAGTCGTATTGACTCTGGATAGCCTTTTGGGCATTGACTGCGTCCTCGGGGGTGCGGTACTTGACGAAGTGCACCTCGGGCTTGGCATTGGCATTCTGGCGCACGGCATTGAACTTGTTCGCCAGCTCGTTGAGGTCGGGTTGCCTGTGGAGCAGGTAAATAGCTGTTTGCTGCTCCGCAGCCTGCTTGGCCAGAGCCAGAACAGCGTTCTCGTAGCCACGATTCTCCGGAGCCTTGATGAAGATGACGCGCACGCTCTTCTTCACCGCAGCCGCAATCTTCCGCGCAGCATCGGGATCCTCAAAGTCGGCCTCATTGGCACGGAACGCGAAGAATTCCTTATGAACGCCGGCTTGTGGCGCAACAATCGAGCGCACTGGACCGCCCAGACCGGATGCGGGGCCAGATATTAGACGAGATCCTACCCCACTAGTGTCAATGGCGTCTGTAACGATGGCCGTGCTACCGGGCCTGTAGTTGTAGCCCAGGCGAGCGGCACTGACTGTTGCCGCCAGACAGAGTACTATCAGAGCACGCATCTTGCCGTTCTCTACTGTTCTGCTAGAATGGTGGCTCAATCAATATTAGCATAGCTTTTATACCGCCAACGCTGCCAGCAGCTATATTTAGCCCAGTTGATGGTTAACTGAATCAAGCCGTCTCGCTCTCTTGTGCCAATTATTGATGCGTCCGCTCGCCATTCGCTAGCGGAAGACCCCGACTCCGATCCGACTCGGACGACGACCACGACTACGTCAAAGATTCGTGAGCAGTGATTGGCCAGCATGTTTTTGGAATGCTGTTAATCTGTTAACATAATTTCGCTCTTAACACATTTAACACATTGTTTTGAGCAGCTTCAATCGTGCCGCCGATGCCGACGCAGTCGCGTCTGTTTCCGATTGGCGATTGGCTGATCGTGATTCACCCATAATTGGGCTATAATTTATGCATGAAATTCAGCTAGCTCCAAATGATGGACTTTTTCGTTATATTTCGGATATACAGAATCGCATATTAATATAATGATATTAACAAAAAAGTGATCGTCAGCACAATAAAATTAATGATTGGATTTGCTTTGTTTTTTCTATAGCATACAGGTTTTTGGCCAAACGTAAATCTTGAGAGTTCCACATGTTTATGCTTAGGTTTTGTTTATGCATGCGAGACTCTTAAGATTCCTTTCTAATTGCGCTTGGCACTCAGCAAGGTGACATCAAATATCAGGTCAGCTAACGGCTTATGACCACCAAACGACCTCCAGTAATATCAGACAGCATTCTGCACTTGCCACAAATTGACATAAGTGAATTCGAGATGTTAAATAAAATGCATTTGCTATAAATTCGTTGTATATTAGATAATTGCCCTTTGTCCTGTTAGAAACAATGCATTTGCTATAAAATCGTTGTATCTTTGATAATTGCCTTCTGTTCTTCACTTTTGATCTTATATTAATCTAAGCTCAAATTTCCGAAAATTGTGTAGCATGAAAAATAGAATCATTTACATTTAAAGTAATTCTTTACAAGAGTAATATTCGAATTCATATTTTAAACATTTTGATTTTTTATTAAATACAACATATTCAGTTTCGTTCTAAAAATATTTCATATATATTTTGGATATTATTCATTAGTTAACAATTGGGGATGATAAAGTTCACAATATTCGTCAGTATATAATTAATCTAATAATATTAATTTAACGACGCAGACGACGGAAGATGGATGTGGGCAGATATGAGTTGTCGGGGCTTTGAGGAACCACCTGGCGTACTGGAACGCGGGATGCGAAGTTCAAGGCGGGGGCAACACCACCATCAAGAGCCTTGGAAGTACCACCCAGCTGATCGTATTGTCCTTGAATGGCGCGCTGTGCGTTGAGAGCATCCTCAGGAGTGCGGTACTTGACGAAGTGCACCTCGGGCTTGTTGTTGGTGTTGCTGCGGATGGCATTCAGTTTGTTGGCCAGATCTCCGATGTCAGCCTGCTTGTTCAGAACATAGATGGCGGTCTCCTGCTGGGCGGCCTGCTTGGCCAGAGCCAGAGCAGCGTTCTCCAGGCCACGGTTCTCGGGTCCCTTGATGAAGACAACACGCAGAGCTTTGTTCAGAGAGCTGGAAACCTTCTCCAGAGCTTGTGGCTCATCGAAGTCCTGTTCATTGGCGGTGTAGGTGAAGAACTCCTTCTGCAATTCAGCAGCTGGTGCAGGGGCCTCGTACGAGACTGGACCACCTGCTGGTACTTGTAGACCGCCTAGGCCGCCAAGGTTGGAGCCCAGCCCAATGTTGTCACCGCCAAGACTCGTCAAACCACCGATCGAACCACCGCCGCTTCCACCCTGGTTGACGCCGATCAAGCCACTAAGTGAGTCGCTGCCGCCGATGCTTCCAATATTTGCATTTCCATTGCCAGGCCTGAACGAAAGTCCAGAGGGGGAGTGTCCTACCGGCTGGTAGTTGTAGCCAAGCTTATCGGCGCAGGCAACGGCCACCAAGCACATAACCTATAGGTATTTAGAGAAGAACGGGTAGAAATATTCCTTCAGTGTCCCGTGGCAGATCCTTTGTACTTACAATAAAAGCGCGCATCTTAATGTCAAATAGACGTTTCTTGGTTCTTCTACTTCAAGTTACGATTCGCTTCTGACTTCTGCTTGGAGCAGTCTTTATTATTTATACAAATCCATCTTCGAGGCTGATAAAAACAAAACTGCCGCCTTGGTGTCGCTTGCATAGAAATCGCTTTGATGCCACTGTGTTTTGCCGCCTACAAAGCTTTTTAGCTCTACAGTTTTATGGTCGACTTGGTATTTTTGTTGCGTTTCAATGGGCACCGGCTGCGGCTGCGGCTGAGACTGAGACTGCGAGTGGGGCTGAGACTGCGGCTGATTGTTTTAGGTTATTCAAATTTTCGAGTTTTTTATTCAATAATTTTTACAAGAATTAATATAAAATTATAAAATTAATATGTGGCGAGCACATTGAACACAGTTTATATGCATATTGATGCTATAAAGATGGGTCATAATTATCTATTATAAATATAAAATAAACGTTTTACCTAAATATTTCGGCAAGGCTACAAGCTTGTTTTATGTAGGACATCTATTTTAGCGTCATTTTTAGGAATTTTGATTAAGCAAATTTGATGATATTGATTTATGCTATGACAGCCAGTCATATTTTAGAAGTACAGCCAAAGATGAAACCGAATAGTCACCATTTTCAGAAATGAGCTCATAGCTAATATTATAATCTCAGATGGGCTTACCATATTAGATTCTAATTATTAATGACTGCACTTTTTTCTGTTTCGGTAAGCTGGCTTAGTTAAGTTATTCCAAGGGTCACTACTCTTGTGCTATTTGAAATAATAAAAAAAGAAATATTTTTTGAAGATCAAAATTTATATAAAATTTATTTGGAAAGTCATTTTAAACATATTTATTTATATATTATATATTTTATATATTGTTTCAAAACGTTAGTTAATTGGTTTTAGCATAGAGCCTTAAAAACAAAGAACCTTACAACTGTTTCCGATAAAGAATTTCCGGTCTGTTGATTCTCTCTACGTGTTTTTCCAATATTATTCTTTCTTTCTTAAGCTGAACGTTCTATCAGGCTCTGTACCAAGCTTCTTTTTTCAATCATTGCGTCCGTATGCGAAGAGCATATGTGGACCTCTCACCTAGGAGACTGTCAGCATAGACAATCGATAAATATATTCATTTGTAAATTCCTTTATATATACAAATTTTTAAAAATATTTTTAAAAATTTAGGTAATAAAACTGAACTAGGAGATCATTAGCAACATTGCAACTATGCAATGTAAGTGAAATTCGATTTGAATTTTCATACAGTCAAGAAACAATATAATTTATAGTTGTCTATAAGTTGAACCAATAAAAGATGTTCTATCGAATCTGGTTTGAAAATGATATGATAATATTTTTTAGCTGGCGAAAGTTTACAAAAATACATATTCATATGATGAAAATTCTACAGAGACGATACAATACATACATATATATATACATACATACAAATATATCGTTAGTATTTAAATACATACATTCTCAAAAAGTTGCTAATTTTCCTATTTAAATCGAGATGATTTGAATTGTAAGATTGTCATATAAACATTGTATAAATATAAATATATAGGGCATGATGTTCAAGAATTCCAGTTCTATTGAAACATATTTATATATGCATGCAGGCATTCTGTCTAAAATATGTTATAAATTAAAATATTTAAAATAGCAATTTTTTTATTCATTTATATGTATAATCAACAGTTAACAGAAAAATTTAACAAACAGTCCATAGAGCTAACAAAGCTGCGTGGTACAATACGATCTATTTACAGGCGACGGAAGACCGATGAGGGCAAGTATGAGTTGTCGGGGGTCTGAGCAGTAACCTTGCGTGCTGGTGCCTGAGAAGCAAAGTTCAACGAGGAGGCAACACCTCCATCAAGAGCCTTGGAAGTACCTCCCAGCTGATCGTATTGTCCTTGAATGGCGCGCTGTGCGTTGAGAGCATCCTCATTAGTGCGGTACTTGACGAAGTGCACCTCGGGCTTGTTGTTGTTGTTGCTGCGGATGGCATTCAGTTTGCTGGCCAGATCTCCGATGTCAGCCTGCTTGTTCAGAACATAGATGGCGGTCTCCTGCTGGGCGGCCTGCTTGGCCAGAGCCAGAGCAGCGTTCTCCAGGCCACGGTTCTCGGGTCCCTTGATGAAGACAACACGCAGAGCTTTGTTCAGAGAGCTGGAAACCTTCTCCAGAGCTTGTGGCTCATCGAAGTCCTGTTCGTTGGCGGTGTAGGTGAAGAACTCCTTCTGCAATTCAGCAGCTGGGGCAGGGGCATTGTACGAGACTGGAGCTTCCAAGTTACCGCCACCGAGGTTGCCACCTGAGATACCACCGAGGTTACTTAGTGGGATACCACCAAGGTTGCCTCCAGAGATGCTACCGATGTTATTGCTGGAGAGCCCACCAAGGTCAGACAGATCACCGATATTTGCGCTTCCAATGTTGCCTGCGCTCAGATTGGAGTCCACGTCGCTTGGTCTTCCACTTATAAGTCCAATGGGTCCACTCTCGTAGCCGCTGAGCGAGTCACCGCCGAGTCCGGTTCCACTTCCGCTGCCAGGACTGAATGATAATCCTGAGGGGGAATGTCCAACCGGCTGATAGTTGTAGCCGAGCTTATCGGCGCAGGCAACTGCGATTAGGCACACAACCTTTTGTCATGATGGAGAGTATTAGTCCATTATTGTATCCTTGGCATTGGGGAACAGACTGCAAAAACTTACGATGAGAGCACGCATCCTGGATTCTGCTGATTAGATTCTATTGCTTCGAGGCTTGTTTGGTTTCTGTTCAATACCGCGATAGCGTCCAATATTTATACAAGCTTATCTTCGAGGCTGTTAGCGTGGCTTCTCGCTGAATACAATGCGGCGATGTCACAAAATGTTTTTCCGCATAAAAATAAGCTGCGTTGGTCTTTTGTTTCGGAGCCTGTTGCGATAATTCAGCTTTGCATAAATGTTATTATAAGGAAAGTGATAAAAATCAAAATCGTGAGCATAAAAATGCAATATTTTTGCACACAGGGGCAAATACGTATGCGAAGGAAAGACAAAAACGAAATGATTGTAATTTTAGGTTTAATTCATTTGGTTCGATTTTATTGTGTATTCGTCTATAAAATGCAGGAAACAAAAACAATAACCAGTCCAGCGTCATCGGCGAAACAATTTCATAAGACTATATACTTCTAGCGCAGACGGAGACGGCGTAGGATGTTGGCTGGCAAGTAGGAAGCGGAGGGCCCGCTTTGGGAGCCATAATTACCGATCGATTGCGAGACGGGGCTACGGGATGCAAAGTTGATGGCTGGGGCGATGCCGCCGTTGATGTTCTGGGTAGTTCCACCCAGGGAATCGTACTGTGATTGGATGGCGCGCTGTGCGTTGGCGGCATCCTCAGGCGTGCGGTACTTGACGAAGTGCACCTCGGGTCTGGCGTTCGAGTTCTGGCGAATGGCATTGAATTTGTTGGCCAGATCACCGACGTCGGTCTGCTTGTTGAGGACGTAGATGGCAGTCTGTTGCTCGGCAGCCTGTTTGGCCAGAGCCAGGGCAGCGTTCTCCAGGCCACGGTTCTCGGGGCCCTTGATGAAGACCACACGCAGACCTCGGTTGGCACTGTTTATGACTCTCTCGCTGGCTGCAGGATCGTTGAAGTCCTCCTCATTGGCCTCGAATGTGTAGAACTCCTTGTTGAGACCACCTCCAGAAGAAGCGTAGGATGCACCGGGTCTGCTCTCAGCGCCGCTGCTGAAATCATCATATGCAATATTGGGAATGCTGTTGCTGGCAGAGCCGGTGTCGATTCCCTGTCCGTAATTATACTGGGCGCATGCGGCGCCGAACAAGCAGAGCACGATGAGGAAGCGCATTGTGAATTTGAGAGATGTGTGCGTTGAACAGCCGATGGTTGAGACTGAATCCTGATACTTTGCGACGGGCCTTTTATACCCCGGCGTCGAGTTGGGATCATGCTTAGAACAATGGATGGATTCTTTACGGGCACATAATTCAACTTGTCTTGTATGCAAAGTAGTGCGCTTATGAAGTGATTATGCAAAACTATCCAACTCGACAAGCTCTTCAACTTTCCGAGTAAGGGAACTCGGGAAGGAGGGACCGGTTATTGATGTTTGTTCTCGCCACTCAGCATAGGTATTTGGCTTCAGCAGAGAAATTATTTAAGAACTATCGAACCCGTTCTCGAGCACATAAACGAATCCAATTAGCTCACAGCCATCGTAACTGGCAAATATTTGTCTGTCTATTTTAGTATCCGCATTCACACTAAAATACGCGCAATAATTAATACATTTGAGATAGGTAGAACACTGCTAACAGCTTTTGATTTGCCCGCTTACGATAAGTTATGCGTGACGAAACACCTATATATTTTGTAGCGCTTTACTGGAGGAAATATTTGAGCTGTGAGTTGATCTAAAGCCGCTGGCTGGGTAATGGATCGGTTATTGCCCCAGCTCAATACTTGTTTAAGTATCGACGTCAGCTTCGAACTTGTTGCTCTTCGCGATGTTCATCAGTCGTGTTCCTTGTCGACACATCGCATTTATGGTTTATCGAATGGATTTTCTTTTAAATAATGAATTCCCTAACTGTATAATTCGGAAACTGTAATTATGTGTTTTCTTTTTCCAGTTTCAGGATCAAATGACAAACCGCTATAGATACTTGGTTTTTCGAGAAGTTATACTATAGTTTATTTATAATAATAACAAAAATAGAAAATCTAAATAAATCAATCGGAGCAAAAATTTGCGACAATCGAAATTTATAAAATTGAATTAATAAATAAACTAATATTATTTTTTAGTAAATTGTTTGTCAAATAACAAATATATAAAACTTAAGAATAAACTATTTACATATACTTAAGCTTAGCCAAAACATGTATGTATTAGCTAAAATCGAAAACGACGGAGAATATTTGTTAGCAGACAGGTGGGTCAGAGACCGATAACTACGCCGGCGGCTTTACGAATAGAGGTTGGGGCTTGAGAGATCAAGTTGAGAGTTGGGGCATGATGAGAAGACGCACTCAACTGATTTTCGAATGGCTTTTTGTTGGCCAGATCGAACGAAGTTTTGTTTCTCTGAAAACAGCTAAAATTATATGTTGCCATATGGTAGCTAAATTTAGAGCTGGAATGCACTTTTGAAAGTAAACATTTGGTATTTCATAAAATAAAATTAAATCATTGCGCAAAACCGAATTTGAGTTATTGCAAACTGATCAGGTTGAGATTGAAGGGTCTTGGTCAAAGTCGGTATGCAAATTAGGAAAGAGGAGCAAAGTGTTGGGCTCGAATGCCAAATGAACGGCGCCAAGTAATTTATTAAATAACCAATTATCAAATTATCTTGTATACCGATGACACCGCGCTGCAGTTCGATCAGCTAATTTGATAATCAATCGGTAAGAAAAAACGAGATTTTATTTTTAGCGATGACGTCGTTGGTACTTCCGGCGCCATTCAATATCCACGTCTATTGCCGCCTTCAGAAGGTCACCTCCACCCGCAAATATTAGCATAAAGCAGCAAATAAAGCCACAAAGTCGACTCGAAGCCACACAAAAAAGGCAATAATAATTTTGCAGATTGTTTAAAAATGTCTTTGAATAACGCGCCTGGGCACGCCTCATTTGCATATTTTGTTCGCTTTTGGGTAACACTTCGAATCCCGTATTTATTGCAGCTAGCTTCGTGAATAGACAAGTGTATTGCACCAATTTTAGTTTACGAGCCATTAGCTAGTCCGTCAACAACCTGCTCATTAAAGCTAGATGTATGCTGATTACGAAGATAAACTCAAATATTTCGTGAAGGTTTTTTCAAAAGCTGAAAAGGCAAAGATGAATAATGGGAATTATAGCTAAATGCAGAATATTCAATTTAATATAAATGTTATGGCGTCGCAGTCAGTGTCGCCGGCGGTGTTGCTGCCGGTGTCGGTGTTGGTATCGCTGATGGCATGCTGATCAAGATATTCAACTCCGATTCGGTTAGAAACCATAAAGTCTTAGAGAGACTGCTCAATCAAGCCGTTCCATTGCATATTTAGTACCCGGCAGTCAAAAAGAACTCTTGCATAATATTACCATTTTATACAATCGTTTTGCATAACGGTAAATGCTCCACATAGCCTCCAACATAAAAGCCACCAAGTGATTGACTAAGACTCCATATTCTATAGCCAACTCAGACAGACTCAACATGCAACATCTTTCCGTTATTCTCTGTTGCTGTCTCGTAGCTCTGACTGCAGCTGACAAGCTTGGCTATAATTACCATCCCGTCGCTCATTCCGGTTCTGGACTGTCATTTGTGCCTGGCGGAGCTTCAAGCAATGTTTCACCCTCATATGCAGCAGGACCTGGCCCAGCTGCTGACACGGGGGACGCAGGCTCAGTCCAGCCATCACTTGTTGAGCCAAGCGGGTCCCTTGCAGAGCCATCTGCAGATGCTCCAGATTATTCTGCGGCGCAGCCTGAGCTGCAGACAGAGTTTTTCACCTATACGGCGAATGAAGAGGACTTCGATGATCCAGCTGCATCTGAAAAGGTGTCCAATGCAGTGAGCAAGGCTCTGCGTATTGTCCTAGTCAAGGGGCCCGAGAATAATGGCCTGGAGAGAGCCGCGCTGGCTCTGGCCAAGCAGGCCGCCCAGCAGGAGACCGCCATATATGTGCTGAGTAACCAGGCCGATATCAATGATTTGGCCAACAAACTCAATGCCATTCGCAATAATGCCAACAACAAGCCCGAGGTGCACTTCGTCAAGTACCGCACTCCTGAGGATGCTTCAAATGCTCAAAAAGCCATTCGGGATCAATACGATCAGCTAGGTGGCTCATCCTCACATCAGGACGGCGGTGCTGCACCCGCTCTCAATTTCGCCTCCGGTGCGCCAAGTCCAGCCCCACAAATAGCTGATGCGGCAGCAACTGAGCCTATTTCCTCATACATTCCACCTGTAACTCCAGGCAGCACATATTTGCCTACAAACCTCTTGCGCCGTTTGTGAGTCAAATATCTTAGCCTTTGGCGTGTTTCTGTTGTTGTAACTGTATACCTTTGTTATTGTTGACTTATTGTTTTGAAAATAAAATTTTGATTTAAAAATTATTGAAATTCTGATTTAAGTGGCGGATGTTTGCTTTTGTACCCTGCAACGGAGTTGGCTAAAGTGGGGTATATCATTTATAGGTGCCGCCCTTATTCAATATATTGTGAATCAAGCATAGCCCCTTTCAATATGCTGGTATTTCCATTAATTCATGAGAATTCTAGCATGAAGTTAAATAGCCTGAGTTATGTGTTTTAATTAAAATCTATTAATATTATGTAAACTTGGTTCCATTTTGATTCCATTGAATCTCATTTGAACCCTTTCCATTTCATTCCTCATATAGTGCTATTCTTGGCTTTGACTAAGCCCACTCATTCATGGGGAACCGCAAATGTTTATTTGAATATCTAAAAAAAGACTGTCATAAAATCGAAACACAAAATAAATTTATTTAATGGGTATCTTTTGGACCGTTACTTTGGATGTGACTATTTGGAAATAGCTTATTATGGATTGTACATTTTTTTCGCAGAGGAATTTGAGTCAATGAAAATATCTTGAATTTCAATTTAGAAACGGATTTGGGTTTTTTCGTGAGACAAACGAGTTCAACGGGTTAAATAGGCTGCCAAGCTCTGAGCTCAGCATGAAAATTGGCAAATGGGAAGCACAGTTCCATGGCAGCATAATTTTATGCTCTCGATGTTGTTTTTGTACATCGCCAGCATCAAACGAGAAATGTTTGCATGCTGCTTATGTGGATCAAAATATGCATGTGAGCTGCCCACGGTTTTGGTAAATTGATTTCGTATGAATTGTCTGACAAATTGCATTTAGCTACATCGAACAATGCCCAAATGCGTAGCGTCGAGCAATTTAATATTATTAAGCTCGCATACTGCCCCAAAAATACAAATATTTGTGGCCATTAGCCAGAGTTTCACTTTCAATCGGTGCGGGCTCGATTTGCATAACAAAATGCGCTAACAAAAGAATTTGGCTACCGCACAGCCAAACAATTTGGAGCTGCCTCTGTCGGAGCGAGCTCTGCCTCTGTCGGTGTCGACTGCGCTGGCGGCGTCAATACGCGCTGTCCATTTGCATAAAAATTTTCTTTGTAATCCGAAGTTCATCAAATTTTAATCAACGCCGAGGCGGCTGCTGTTGCCGTTGCCGTTGCTTCTGCTGTTGTTGTTGATGTTGATGTTGTTGGCGTCAGTTAATAATCAAAGCCACCTTAAATAAACATGTTCGACAACATGTTGGGGCGACATGTCGCGACATATGATGAGTCTTATCTTGATCTCATGCATGATTGCTCAACGATTGTTCTCAGAATGACATACATATTGCTATAAAAATGGCACCTCACCTCTTGACCACATCATTCAGTGCTCACTGCTCCGAGTAGAACTAGAACCTCAAAAATGCGCGCCTTTGTCGTCTTGTGCCTTGTGGCCGTTGCCTGCGCCGATAAGCTTGGCTACAACTACCAGCCGGTAGGACACTCCCCCTCAGGACTTTCGTTCAGGCCTGGCAGCGGAAGTGGAAATATTGGAAGCATCGACGGCAGCGACTCACTTAGTGGCTTGATCGGCGTCAACCAGGGTGGACGCGGCGGTGGTTCGATCGGCGGCTTGACGGGCAGCGGCCTGGGCGGACTTGACTCTGGTCTAGGCGGTGATAACATTGGCCTGGGTTCCAGCCTTGGCGGCCTCGGCGGCCTCGGCGGGCTACAAGTGCCAGCCGGTGGTCCAGTCTCGTACGAGGCCCCTGCCCCAGCTGCTGAATTGCAGAAGGAGTTCTTCACCTACACCGCCAACGAACAGGACTTCGATGAGCCACAAGCTCTGGAGAAGGTTTCCAGCTCTCTGAACAAAGCTCTGCGTGTTGTCTTCATCAAGGGACCCGAGAACCGTGGCCTGGAGAACGCTGCTCTGGCTCTGGCCAAGCAGGCCGCCCAGCAGGAGACCGCCATCTATGTTCTGAACAAGCAGACCGATATCGGAGATCTGGCCAGCAAACTGAATGCCATCCGCAGCAACAGCAACAACAAGCCCGAGGTGCACTTCGTCAAGTACCGCACCCCTGAGGATGCCGCTAATGCTCAGCGTGCCATCCAATCGCAGTACGACTCTCTGGGCGGCAGCAGCCAGTCCACCAATGGAGGCGTGGCTGGTGCTCTGAACTTCGCCTCGGCGCCACAGTATCGTCAGCCGAATGCACGAATTCCAGACAACTCCTATCTGCCCTCGTCTGTGCTCCGCCGTCTCCGGTACCGTTACTAATTTAGAATCCTTAAACCACCATTGTTTTGTTAAACTTTTGTTATCGATTGAGCTGTCAAATATTGCAAATAAATTTCTTATTTAAAACATATTCCTCCATTTCTTTTTATCTGCGATCCCATATTTAACGCTATAAATGGGTCTCTTAGAAAATTAAGCGGGCATTGAATGCCTTTTCACGTTTACTGTCAAAATTACAGCATTCGGTATTTACTATGGGGCATAAAAATTCCATCATTGTGATGGTATTATGAATGCAAAGTGGAAGACAATAAAATTTACATTTTTGCATATTGTGTGTACGCCTATTGTACAAGAGGCGCTAACAAAATTTTTCGATAATAATTAAAATGTTAATATGCGTGAAGTAAAAGGCTAGACAAACTATTGGCACTTAAATTTATGGCAACTGCAAGACGGAACTATCGTGACTAGGCCAGCCAAAGCCATTTCAATGCATTATGTATGAGTAATACCAGCGCTGCCGAATGAATGCCCAATAACAAACCGAGACAATAGAAGCTGTATTCAAGAGCACCCACTATTCTTGATTAGCATAAACAAAAAATAAAACACTACAATAGTTTTGTTTTTCTTTTTTCGAAATATCAATAAATACGATCGCTGGCAAACTGTTAGCTGAAATAGAAATCCAGTTGGCTATTGGCCGAACATGATATATCCGTAAAAAAAAACATCTAGGCACGTGAATGCAGATGATTTTAGCAAATTCTTGCCTCTCTTCTGTTATTTGTGTCCATAATATAACTTCGCATGTTTATTTCTAAAGTTATTTTTAGCTAGGTTTTTTCCTAAAATACAAAGAAAATGATTATTGAATAAAATTTAGGTACGACTTTATTTTTTTTTTTAAATATTATAATTTTACTAGATGTTAAGAGATTTGATATTAAGTGACATGCCTTGAAATGGGGTTTTTTGTAAATTATAAGAAAATACTCGCTCTCCGGATGCTCAGGCTGAAATCTACCCCCATTGCTGGAAGGTATTTCTTAAAAGTATCTCTTTTGAGAACATTTCTAAGTATTACTTTTAATTAATACCTTTAAGTATTCCTTCTAGGCGTTTCCTTTAAATATTTCCTGCGAAAAATTCCTCCAAGTGTTTTCTTTTCTAAGTATTTACTCTGAGCTTTTAAAGCTTAGCTGAACACACTTCATTTCACTTCCCTTTAGTTTACTGCACGACTGACCCACACCAGTTGACTGAAGAAATGCTGTAGCTGCTGCCATTTATATATGGCGACTTTCACTGAGTCGCTCTCGCTGCAGAGCCCGATAGCAGGTAGAGGTCGTATCAGTGGAATGAGAGCACTCTCTGCTGCTTCATTCTAGCTTCGTTGTAAATATAAATACCAAATTAATACTGCTCCATATAGACAGTTTAAATGATATTCTGTAGTTCTTCTTTGTCCCTTACCTCTCTCAGGCAGAAAGACAGATAAAGATTCAGTTTCTGAGATGGACAATGAAACAGATATACATAGATACATACGAACAGATATATAAGCAAACAAGCATGCATAATTACATCAGATTAGCTCAATACGCTGCTCAAGAATATATGTATGTATATGCTAGATAGGTTTAAATGTTAAATAATTGATGTACATTAATCTTATAATTATTATACGACATTGACAGCAGTTTCTTCTGTTCTATAGTTCTCCTAAGGAGCTTCAGCATAGTCTGCTTAAATTCCGACTATTCCATTCATTAATCATTTGCAATGAATATATTTTCAATGGGCTCCTATCACTGTTATATTATTTGTGAATAAATATGTAAACAATGCAAAAGGGGATTCCAATGTGTTGTAAGACATATGAATTATGGATTTGCAAATATTATTCTGCTTTGGCGAAAAAATATAATACGGGCTATAATACAACTATACTCTCTTATCTAGTATCCCGAAGGCTACACTGACCTTGAAAAAAAGTAGGTCAGCTGAAATTGGCAAATGTGATGCAGTCAATACAAAAAGAAATGACTAAAGATGCGAATTGGGGAGTAGCGATAAAATAATATATGATGCGATATAAAAGCAAAAGCAGCGAAAAGAAATAAAAAAGTGAGCAGCGAATTGATATTGACAAATAGCGCTTAATGTGGCGCACAAATCAAAGATGACCAATATAAATGATATCGTAAATTGATTGTGGTGCGAAAAACAACAGCATTTGCAAAACGCTTCGATAAAGCATATAAAAAGCGTGGGTGATAAAGTTATATGCATACTTAAGCTCGATTCAGCTAATAGTTCACAAGTATCTCAAAGCCAACGAAATGCGTGTCCTTATTGTGAGTTTTCCTCGGATCAGGAATATAGCAAAGCAATATAATGAATTGAATCCTACTTTTGCAGACTCTTTGCCTTCTGGCCGTAGCTCATGCTGAGAGGTCCGGCTACAATTATCAGCCCGCTGAGCCGGCCATCTCCAGCTTGCCCTTAACGTCCAGCAATATTGTCCAAAACCAAGCCGGTTATATACCCCCTCCGGAAATAGCACCAATCAGCCGAGAGCCGTTAATCTCTGGTGGATCGGCTCCTGCCGAGCAGTCATACCAATCGCCTCCCGAGCTGCTAAAGGAGTATTTCACATATACCGCAGACGAACGTGATTTCCAGGAACCGATCAACCACGACCAGCTTTCGAGAAGTCTTCGCAGGAACCTGCGCGTTGTGTTTATCAAGGGACCTGAATACAATGGAATCGAAGATGCTGCTTTATCTCTGACCAGACAGGCTGCTGAGCAGCAAACGGCCATCTACGTTCTGAGCAAGCAGGCCGACATAAACGATCTTGGCAACAAGTTGAACAACATTCGCACCAACAACAACCAGAAGCCGCAGGTGCACTTCGTCAAGTACCGCACTCCCGAAGATGCCATCAATGCCCAACGCGCAATTCAGGGCCAATACGATCAGCTGGGCGGTGTGTCCACTCACCAGAATGGAGGCGTCGCACCCGTCCTCAACTTTGCCTCCAAGACACCCGTTCCAGACATACCCGCTGTGCAAGAGCCCGCCAACACGTATCTCCCCGCTTCGCTGCTGCGTAGCCGTGCTTAGGCGTGGACTTGAGCAAAACCGTCCAAGCCCCCAGACTGACCATAACTGATTCCCACGCATATGTTAGACCATTCCTAGCCATTTCTTTTAGGTTAATATTGCAAATATTTTAATAAATAATATTAAAAACGAAATGCTGAAATTTCAATACTAGGTCAACTTTGTCTCACAACAAATTTTGTAATACTGTGTCTGTGTAACCTATTTACTATTTTTGGCAAGCGGCTGGCATTATTAATCCCTATTTGGGCTTGCAGTCAGCAAAAAAGATTATAAAAAGCTCTTTGGGTTGGGATCTGCTTAACAAATGAGCGTTAGTCTCTGATGCGATTACAGCATGCGGAAAGTTGTGGTAAGGCAGTATCAAAAGAGAAACCTTGGATTATTCTTTGATATATAGTTTTTTCAGTTTTTGTCTTTCATAGCAATATGTTCGGCCAAGCTGGGCTACAATTACGAGCCAAACTCAACAGGCTTCGGATACGGCTCTGCTGCTGACCATGCGGACTTCCACAAGCATTTTTATGCCTTCGAAGCACCCCAAGATGCCGTCGATGAGGCTGAGTTGGTGGAGCAGAAGATTTTGGCGCACTCCAAGAAAAATCTACAGGTTGTTTTCATAAAGGCGCCCGAGAACAAGGCCGTCGTAGGCGCCCTCAAAGCCCTGGCCAAGCAAACCAGCGAAGACAAAACTGACATCTATGTGCTGAACAAGCAAACGGATCCCCATGAATTGGCAAGCAAATTGAGCGCCGCACAGGCACAGGCGCATAAACACAGGCCTCAAGTTCATTTTGTCAAATATAGGACGGAAGAGGAGGCTTTGCAAGCGCAACAAGTCATTCAGGCGCAGTACGGAAGAGCAACGGGTCCGTCGTCACCATCCTCACAGCAGTCATCTTCGGGCTACTCGCAGTCCACGGAGATTCCCTCGCCAGGCTACTATCCGGAAAGTCAACCACTGACGCAACAAGGCGCCTATCCTCAGGAGCTCTACGGTGCGCCCCCAGCACCAGGATCAAGTTATCTGCCGCCCTACACGCCCAGCTATGGCGCTGCTCCACAGCCTTACTTTGGTGGTGCAGATCAAGGCAATCTTGATTTGCCGCCACTGCCCCTGCCAGAACAGCAACTGGCACCCAGTCCTTACGACTTGGATGCACGCACTGCGAAGTCAAGTCGTATTGATTTCCGAGTCAACGAACGACACCGCTCAAATGGTCGAATGGTGTTTCCCACTGAGAAACCAGCGAAAACCTACCTGCCAGCCCTCTCTAATAGCTATTTGCCCCCTCAGAAGCGCAGAAGGCGCGCCCACTTCTAAGAATTCCGTATCGAATTAAGACATTAAAATAGTAAAGCAAAAGACTTACGTTTGTTTAAAGTTTTCAACACAATAAATATCACAAAATCACTGTAAACAGCTTTTGTGTCTGCCACAAATCTGAAGAGGAGGCTCGAAGATAAAGCCATTAATTTCTATAAGAGGCTTATCGGCCAATATCTGGAGCGAGGCTCGTTCGCTTATTACAAACAACAAAACATACACAAATCACCTGTAAATTAGCCCAAAAAGCGGCCATAAAACTCGATCATAAAATCAAGTTCAAGTGAAAGTATGGCACAAAGGGCTATTGCGGGGCATGGGACGGACAAATGTATATGTCTGCGGTGGCGGACAGCAGTCGTATATGGAAAAATTTGATAACTAATTTAAATTGGGAGCTCATTTGTAAATTTAATACGAATTAATTCAAGTTCAAGCTGAGCTCAGGTCAAATTCACATGAATCTTTGGCCTGGCTTTGTCTCTGGCTAGTCACAAAATTTGCATTTTCAAATTGAACGATATTAACATGGATAATCGGATCAGGCTAACACAACGAGCCGAGCACAAATGTTTGCAAAAATCTTTTAAAAACCAATAAACGCAAAAAAAAGCCACTGAAAAAAAAAACAGAAAAAAAAATCGCAAACAAAGCCAACGCAGCCGATAAATGAGGTTTGTTGTTTGTGTCGTATATAAGGATGGTTTTGTTGGTGTGACTTGGTTATAATCACACTGAGCTTCGAGCGCTGAAAACCAGCCGCTGCTGGCCAACGTGGAAAGTCCTAAGCTCCAGCAAAATGCGCCGCCTGATGGTAAGTGAATCGATCGAACCAATAATTGGAACTTTCATCTGATGCAATTTCCGCCTCTTTCACGCGACAGAGCTTTCTGATATTCCTCTGCACCGACTGGGCGTTCGCTCTGAACAACGCCTATCTGCCAGCCAGCAATGAGTATGCAGCGCGTCGGCCTCTCGCCACGGAATATTTCAGCTACAGTGCGCCACCGGAGGACGATCAGAGCTTGTCGCTGCAAGCAGCTCGCCAGCTTGCCAAGGCATTTACGCCTCCGCAGCAGGTGATCTTCATACGCAATCCAGAGTCGAATCTCTTTACGCTGACAGCCAAGCAGCTGGCGGCAAACAATGCTTTGGATATTTATGTGCTTCAGCGGCAAATGGATGCCGCCGCTTTGGAGCAGGAGAAGGCAGCCATTGAGCAGCAGCTGGGCCTCAAGCCCAGCGTTCACTTTGTCAAATATCGAACGCCCACCGATGTAAGTCGGGCCATAAACAGCCTACGGAGCAAATACGAGCAGTTGCCGGGCAGAAGCTACAGCCATGCCGTGGAAACGGCGAATGTCATTCGCCTCAACCCACCACCGCACACAACGCAGCCCGATCCAGTGGTGTTCAAGATCTTGCCCAGGAACAGCGCAGAGTACGAGACTCATGAGCAGGCGAACGAGGTGGAAGCCGCCAAGCTGCAGGCGCTGTTTCGGCAATATTTGCCACCAGCGCGGCGCCGTTAGACTTACTATAAATGGACTAGTGCCAAAGACTGCTAAATTTAAATACTACGTCATTAGAAAAACCTAAATAAATAAATAATATATATACAGGAACATACAAAGTTTTAGCAGTGTATTTGAATCTTTCTGCTTCAGTTCGGCCATGTAGATGAATGCAATGCATAAATACACATAATATTCCTTTAGCTAACATAATTTCGAGTTTTAATTATTAATGAAATTGCTTTGGCGAATTTGAATAATGCGTAAAAGTTGGCTAATCAAATATTTGCTTTTACCGAATTATAATTAGTTTATTTCATCATTTCTATTACAAGTTTTAATAATAATAATTATTGTCTTTATGCAAATTAAAATTATGGCTGCTCAGTCTCAATGTAAATATTTCTACTCGATTGGGAGAGCGCGATTAGCCAGCCAGCCAGACAGCCAAGAATCTCATCATAGCCACAACTTTGACTTTTTTATATACATTTTTTTTTATTCACACCAATAATTTACATTTTGATTTTGATCAAAGCAAGAAATTGTATCAAAGTCGTAAAAGACGAAGATCTAATACGCTTTCTACTTATAAATAATATAACATAAAAGCATAGAAAAAATTTTAATTGTTTCTACTTCATTAAATTCACAATTTATATTAATTGTGTAGATTTATAATTTTTAAATATTTGTATATAAATATAAATGTGTATTTGCCAAATTTGTCATCTTTGGCACCGTTTGTCAGGGTGTACAAAAAATACCTACTCAGATGTCGAGAGAGCAACTCAAGCTGAGGTCTCTCACCGCAGCTATGGTATTATGAATAATTAATGACTTGGTTGACAAGTCGAAACATTTCACTTTTGAGCTCTTGCGGCGCGATGCGCACAGCTACGGATTATCTTTAAGATATCTCTTAGATAATCATGAACGACCTGTGTCCATGCAAACATTTTCTTAAGCAATGTGTCGCTGCCGTTGCCGCTGCCGCTGCTGCTGTTGAGGTTGTCGCTGGAAAACTTTTTAATGAGCTATGCGCGAGGCTGGGTCGGCCCTACTTTTCTGTCCCACAAGTTGCGTTGCCATCCATCCGTTAAGATTAACGACAGGCGTTGCTTTAAGAATGTTTCAACTAAATTATGGCAGTGCCGGCACTGACACCGGCTCTAGGGCTGACATCATGTTGCCTTGCAAATTGTTTTAGTGCAGAGGTCAAACACACACACACACACACACACACACACACACACAGGCACACTTTTGTACTTCGCCATGTGGCACAGTGAAGTGCAGACGCAAAAAAGGCATCCTGGCACTACAAATCTGTTGAGCAAGTTTTAGTTTCAGAATTTTCGAGCAACATGAGAACCGGTACGTAGCAGAACGTAGCTCGTTAGCGGCGCCTGCCAAAAAGTTTGCCAGTCACGTCAAAGCTGCCAGGTTTTTCCCGCTGCAAGTACATGGGTGCTTTAATGTTGGCTGGCGGCTCATGACTTGAAATTCCTGCTCCAATATCAACACAGGTGTGTCCAAGGTCCAACCGATGCGACAGCGTCCCAAACTCACTCTCAACAGCAGATGCCAAGTTTGCGTGTTGCCAATCTTCCTACGCGAGCTCTTTTTATTTTATTTTCATTCTATCTATGTTGGCTTGCCTTACCACATTATGAGTATTTTCTTTGGTCTACTCGTAAAGTGCTCTGTTTTCCAGCTAGCCACTCTCAACTAGAAATTACGAATTTATCCCCAACATGACAATTGCATTTTTTTCCTCAAAATACAAAGAAAAACTTACTCAACTCGCAATAAATTAAAACATTTTAAAACATATTTTATGTAATTATTGTATATAAATACTATATACATTTTTGTATATCTAACTGTCAATCCCAATACATCTATGCGAAATCTAAATATACAATGAACAGGTTTGCTGTCTTGTGCATATTTATATATAAGACAAAGGAAGCCTTCGTCAAATCCGTAAAGACATGCCTATTTCATCCACACATCAAGTCAACACCTCCGTTTACATAAAATCAATAAGAAAATGCTTTGCCTGGCAAGTAATAGCTGAAACTGTACTTATTCCCCCGCTCCCATATCGTGTTGTTTTGGCCAGAGTATCTTACGGTCTTGCAATTGCTAAAAAAACATTTTTGCTGTTTAATGCTCGCATTGTTTTTGCCATTCATGAATACTAAAATGTTTTAATTGGCTGAAAAAACTTTGTTAGCCGTCAACATATATTGAGACCTTTCTCCACAAAGTGGGGTAGATAAGAGCAAACTTTGGCAAAATTATAATTAGCAGCTTAGGGCTGACCCGGGATTGGACAATGCTGAAGTTAGTTGCAGCTGAAATCGGTAGCTATTTATATTTCACAATAAGCTCAGCTACTTTGCAGTGAAGCGTATTATGGGCTTTGTTTTTTTTTTCCGGCTTGAAGCAATCAAAGCGTTTTGATTGGGGAACGAAACAGAATGAGACAAAGCGGGCCATGCATATTTATATATACGCATATGTATGTCGTAAAGTGCATTTAAATCAAAATGCGATGGCGTTGAAGCCGAGATAAATGGCCAGAGATGTTGACTAGGCCTATTCGACGTCTTGACTTAGTTGTCTTTAAATTCGAGCGAGGTTTTAATGACTGCCATGGTATAAATACCCAATTAATATGGCGTGCGCTCTCAAGGTCACCGATGCCGCAAACCCATCGTGTTGTGAATGGGAGTGCCGAGGGATGGGGACTAGCCACAATATCGAACTGCAGTCGACTGCGCCTATAAAAGCAGATACCTGCTCCATTCCCACATTAGTATCATCTCTTAGCTTCAGCTGTGCGGTAGCCTAAACATCAACAAACAATGCGTGGATTTATTGTAAGTCTTGAAATGCTACTGAGTGCAGCGCGCATGCTAATCACACCCAACCCATTGCACAACTTCCGCAGCTGATTTTCCTGTGGGCTGCCGTTTGTGGCGCTGACAAGCTGGGCTACAACTACCAGCCAGTGGCTCATTCGGATGAGGGTCTCTCGTTTGCGGCCGGCAGCGGAGTCGCCGGGGCACCTGGCGTGCAGCAAGGCGAGGCTGAGCTATCGTTGCCCATTGCGGCGCCACTCACTCCACCAGCGCCAAGTGGCATCATTCCGCAGCAGGCACCGCTTATCGAGGAGTTCCAGAAGGAGTTCTACACATATGCTGCGCCCGAGGAGCAGTTCAACGAGAACATTAACAATCAGCAAATCGCCGACTCGCTGAAGAAGAATCTGCGCGTTGTGTTTATTCGCGCGCCCGAGAATCGCGGCTTCGAGCGCGCCGCTCTTCAGCTGGCCAAGCAATCAGCCCAGCAGGAGACGGCCATCTATGTGCTGACCAAGCAGGCGGATGTTGCCAATCTGGCCAAACAGCTCAACGCACTCAAGTCGACTTCCAGCAATAAGCCCGAAGTCCACTTCGTCAAATACCGCAC